ATATTTAATGTCTTTGTTAGTTTTATTCGAATTATCCGTATAAAATATGCTTTGATAGACAATATTATACATACCTTTCAAAACAAAGTCTACAGTAATCAAAGTCGGTATGAATATGAGTGTACATTATTTAATTCATAGCCATTCCTGAATATTTTTTATCAGCATGATGCTAATACAAATGAGAGTACACGTCTATTAATAGGAAAACATTTAAAAAGATTAAGAATAAGTTTTAATGTTGAAAATACAGTTATACTGTTGATCTTGATAGTTTCTCTGAAGCAATTACCATATCCCATACAAAAGACAGGATACATTATTTATTTTATTAACTAAATAAATATTTTAATGACTGCCTTTTGCTAATACAATTTCTTCTCGAAAAAAATAGAGAATTGCCAATTAATGGATCATTTGCTTTTAATTAAGATCAGCCAGAAATCAGGTTTAAGTAGCAGTACGTAAAATATATACACTAAAAACATTCAAAAATTCATATTTATTATTACAATAGGTACATCAAATTTTGACCTAAAATATTCTAAGAATATTAATGTACTATAAAATTAAATAACGTATCAAACTAAAATCATTTGATTTAATAAATGTATCTTCTTTTATATGTGACGAATCAAGAAATTATCTGGAATATATTTCATAAAAGTTTTTTTTATCTCTTCTCTTTTCTTTGTCTAGTTTTACTCAAACATAACATCGCATAAATCTGTTGCATTTCCATTTATGTGGCCATATGAAACATAACGTTGGAAGTAAAATATATTTGAATATTTACAGCCTTCTTTGCACGCACTTCCAGTTGTGACAATAAAACGTGGAAATTTTAAAAAGAATTGATTACAATATAATGACGTGTTTATAAATATTTGAGAAGTTTATATGAAACGAAATAAGATACTAAAAATGACATATACAAAAAAGAAGATACTTCTCGTTGGTGTATTATTAGGTATATATACTTATACGATTGTAACGTACTTTACTCCATGGTTTGTTGAAAAAACATATTGGACAGCATTCGATTATATTCATTTCAAAGAAGCATCACGTACACCCATAAATATAACTGATTATATACATAGTCCTCTATCGCCAGGACTAAAATGGTGTTCATCAAATCCCTTCTTAGATTCATACGATCGAAAAACAGTATTTTACATGGAACACATATGGTATAAATGGTCAGAAACACAATTACAAAGTGTCTACGATATACTTACTAAAGTTGCTCTTTCACGTAATACTACCGATGGATATATTACTCATATGGCTTATCCAGAAAAAACTCATTTACCTTGTCCAAATAAATATGGTTTAGTACGTTATGGAAAATCATTAGGTACAGGAAAAGTCTTATGTGGAATTGCAACAATTCCACCTTCAGCTAAATGTATTATATACAGTTTAGGTTCTAATAATAATTTTGAATTTGAACAAGCAATTATAAAACAAACATCATGTCAAGTTCATACATATGACTGCACTAGTTCGCCACCAAAAGTTCCCATTAAAGGTCTTACATTTCATAATGTATGTATGGGTGAACAAACAAATTTACAACAACATATATTTCCTTATAGTGTACGAAAAGAAAAACTTTATAATAACGAAACTGTTATATTTAAACGTTTCAGTCAAATAGTACAAGAGAATAATCATGATCATGTACATGTATTAAAAATGGATATTGAAGGTGCTGAATATGGTGTATTTGCTGATATATTTAATTCATCAAAAGGAATTAATTTACCTTTTCAAATATCATTTGAATCTCATTGGTGGTATCACGATTTTTATCATGCAATATTACATCAACACATGTTTAATCAATTATGGAAAAAAGGTTATCGATTTCTTTATCATGAACTTAATCCAGGAGATCCTTCTTGTGTAGAATGGACTTTAATGCGAGTTTTTTGTTAATGTTTATCAAAAGTCAAAAAACGTACGATATTAAATATTATTCTTTTTTTTCTTTAATTTTATTTATGTTTCTATAATTAGACCATTCTTTGCTTATGATGTAAAATTCATATTTGAATTAAAGTGTCCGTAATGCAAGTGTAATAACTGTAATTATTTGAATTGACATTTTCCTTTTCTTCTTCTTCTCTCGGTCGACTACCTCTTATAATTCACATGTAATTTTTCTAATACATTTTATTCTTTGCATGTTTATCAGTCTGTTTTAATACATTCTCTATGTTGTTATAAAAAAAGAAACGTAATACTGAATGGTTATAGTAATGATGAATTTATTAAAATGATCATGGATCATAATCATCTAACTGAAGAAGAGAAGTGCAATATTCGGGTATTTCATGAAAAAGTACAACAACAGCGTGCATTTGAAGAAACAACTCCCATTCTTCTTATACATGACGAAGAATGAACAAAAGCGTTATAACTAAGTGAACATGAAATGAGTGAGAAGATATGATTCTTCTCTATCATAATGAGTATATTTTAAGGATTGAAATTTTTTTTATTTCTTCTTTCGGTCCTTTTTATTTTGGTGTTTTTACAGCACTCCGCAATTTTAGCACGCCAACAATAATTTTCTCGTTTTGTAGCTGTTACTGAATGTCTTGATTTATTTAAAATTAAACGCCGCCAATAACTAAATCGTAATTTATCTAATCGGTAAAAACTTGAATTTTTAATCTTATTTGTTGCTATTTCGTTCAGTTTAGCACGAAGAAATTGTTCAGTAAGTTCGCTCCAATCATTAAGAACTATGATAGGTAGATCAACATAGAGAGGATTTAATGTCGAATTCCAGACAATAGGAATTACATCTAAATATAATGCTTCCCATGTTCGATGGCAATCAAGTCCATTACCACGTGGAGAAAGCCAGAATGGATATCGACGATTACGAGTATAAATAGTTGGAAGGCCTGATATATTAACTCCATCCGGTTTGTCTATACATACAACAAATGTAGAAGTATATTGTTGTTGATCACAGAGAATTTTCCAAATACGTGAACGAATACCCGTTGGATCAGTCAGTCGTTGAAAATTTACGAGTAAAAGTTGTTTAGCAGGATATCCATTCAATATTTTATGTGTCACGTCTAGAAGGTGTACGTATTGCTGAGGTTCGTCTTGACCACCGAATATTGACGGGAGCGTATGATTTGGATTTTGTTCATATATATGTCGAATTCCATTTGCCATTTCATAACAATTGAGACCTATAAAAATGATTATTTGTAATAATTTAAATTATTTAAATGAAAACTAGTCAATGATATCTACATATCAAACTCATATACATTTCCGAAAATTTTGATGAAAAAAATATTGAATTAGAATCTAAAAGTTCTCTAAGGATATTGGATCTATGTAAATGTTTTCTATTCCTTTCGAATATTTTATTTGAATTCTTACCAATAGGAATAGGAGTAAATCTATCACTCTGTGAAGATTCTATATCAGCATTTTGACCAAACCAATGAATTATTTTTGAATCAATATGATGAAGATAAGAGAGAAATTTTTTAGGAGCTGATGCATCTCCTTGAGCTGTAATAAGAACAAATCTGTTAGTCAAATATGGATAAATAGAATGAAAAAAATTGTCTAGATAATCAGTTTTGACATATATAATACTACCGGATGGTAGACAAGGTGCAAGATGATATCCATTAGTCGTGGTGGTCTCTATCTTTTCATCAAAAACACCATTTGGCCAACCATAAATCCAATCCGCTAAATTGCGAAAATTTTGTGGACAAATAAATTCGGAATAATGTTCTATAAAATGAGAATTATCAAATGACAATCGGTTGTAAGTCAAAGTCGTTTCATATGAACATAATTGAGAGCAATCAGACGGTTTGCTTAGATATAAATAAGAAACTATGATGCAACATGTCAGTAGAAAACAAAGAAATTTTCCTCGAAATCCAAAACAAAATTGATAGCGTGAACAGTTGAAATATAATTTTCTCATTACAAATTGATCGAATCTAAATTTAAAATAATATAAATTAATTCTAAACTTGTGATCATCCTAATTGACATGTCATCATTTATTTTATGTTTTTTTTCTTAAATAACACGCATTTGATGATGCGCACGAATTATAAGAATAACTATTATTATTAAAAAAATTATTCTTTACTTTATGAGGTTGTCTAATTCTTCCATGGAAGATAATGTCCAGTGCTCGTCTCTGTATGCTCGCATGCTGATGTCTTGTATTACAAAGGTACTGTTGAGTCGGAAGTTCAGGTTTATAATTAAATGTGCTTGGTAGAAATTTTGTTTACTTCATTTGAAGATCATTCAGTTGACAAAGTTGTAATAATAATAAGAAGAAGCTAATACTCTGTGTCGAATACACGAAAACACGGTCTATATGTATGAGGCGGATATCTAGGTATATATAGAGAGAGACACTTATCTAGACATATGATATCAAGAGAGATGATATCTGAAGAGATACATTGAGGTAAAAGATAGAAAGATAATATCTGACAAGATATATCGAGGTGAAAGAGAAATGATCTCAAGAGAGATACAACAAGGTAGCTTATTATATTAAGGTACATGTTGTTTAAGAAAATTCTTCGTTTTATTCCTTTATACACATATATATTCAATAAGATAAATAAACTAAATAAATGTATGTGCCAATAGGTACAATATATCATTCTTGTTTTCTATTGGAATATCTTTCTTATCTCCTTGTGGTATAGTCTCGATCGTCTTATGCATATATTCGTATTCTCTTTTGTCCTCTTCTCTTCGTTTCTCATGCGCAACGAGTAACTTATTCAAATTACTATATAAGTATGTGTAGAAGAAAAGAATAGCATAGGTGGATAATGGAATAGTGAAGTGAACATCATATACTCAGGATAGCGGTAACGCTATTTCATCGATTCATCATTGAGTTCATAATAAAAGAAGGAATGTTGTAGCTGTAACAAACATCTATCCATTTCTTTTATATATTCATTAGAGAACTATCAACACTTTTGCATAACTAAGAACACAATAAAATTCTTACACATTTGATAAATTTATTGTGTTTAAAGTTGAGTTGTACCAAAGGATATTGTTTTATAAAATAATCGTCAATTTATTTTCGGTATTCTTATATTAATGACTTATCGAATCTAGGATTTCACAAGTTATTGTTTAAATAACAGAACCAACCTATTTCGCTATTCAAAATATCGACATTCAGTTTTTTACCATATAGAAAAGTGAATTGTAAAAAAGTATGTATAGAATGAGTAGTGATGACATCATATGTGTCTTAAACTATTATGTTATTAATTCTCTCTAACAGTGCTCAATAAAAACAACATGAATCTGTAGTTTTCTTGAAAATATTTAACTTGAACACATTCCAGGAGCATCATCAAAAATTGAATTTAATCAAAGTACTAATTTTATTGATTACGTAGTATTCAAATATATGTGTCTCTGCATTCTACTGTCTTTTTTATATAACCTTCAGTATTATTTTCCATTTGTGACTACGTTTTTTTAATGAAACTCAAGGAAAATTCTCAGGATATTTCTCTTAGAGAAAACTATAGATTCATAAATAACTTTGAAATATACACTTATTTAATTTAAATATTGATTCTTAATGTGTTATTAATTTTTCTTCAAAAAGTAAGATTCTATCAAAGTTTCATGCTATTTTGTTTTCTTTCTAAAGACGTTCCAACAATAGCATAATCGTTTGATTTTCATATTAGTTTAAAACATATGTGATGTCATTACTATTCATTCTATACATACCCTGTACACTTCACTTTTCTTTATGTAAAACTTTTACATATGATGAAAAACTGAATGTCAATATTTTGAATGACGAAATAGGTTGATTTTGTTATTAAACGATAGCTTGTGAAATCTTTTATTCAACAAGTCATAAATAAAGAGAAGATGATAGATTACGTAAATATTATTTTTGTACGCTAGTCTTTTCTTACGATTGGATTTTAAAGTGACTTATGTGAAGGTAAATCGATCTTTCAAAATATCTCGAATTCACATCGATGTTTGATCAAAGATTCTTGGTATATCAAACTAGTACTTAAGTCACTTTTCCTGTGAAGCTATGTAAAATAAAGAAAAACATTGAAAACTGTCTGATAAATTTCATATGTTTCAAAAGATTCAGAGAATTCCTATCTTCGTACCACCGAAAGTTTGCTTATATGTTGGATATTCAATAAAAAATATCGATTTTTGCTTTGAAATTTTTTTTGTTGTTAGTATATCAACTTCATTTATTTTTTGTAAAATTACTTACGAAATGTTTAGTTCTTTGAATAGATATGAAGTAATAATCGTTATTTGAAAAGAGTAATGAAAATGATAAAGTTTACTTTTTCTACATAATTATATATGTTTTCATTTGTTAAAGTCGCATGTAATTTAATATAACAGAAAAGAAATTGTCGTTTCTGTCGATAAAGTATTAACAGAGTAAAAAAAATGGAGCTAATGACTGACCGACAAAGTTTCTTTAAAACAGTAATAATACAGGAATCGAGATTTTTAATTGTATGCCTTTCTCTCTTACAGTCTAACAATGGGTGCGCAAATATTGATCAACATTTTTATGTTCATTTCTTTATTAAAGAATAGTTGATTGTTTGTAGTAAGTGAAACGTATAAAAAAGAATTTCCACCAGCTATTTATTAAATATATTATTCATTCTTCTTTTCCTTTAAGAAGAAAAGACTTTCTTCTCTCATTAAAGAGCGGAAAAAGTATTTGTATTGTAAGTGTTGCTGCAATCAATTTTCCGTTGTTTGTTGAGGGAATGTTATTAAGACACTGGAACGATAGAAATAGAGTGATTTTTTTTCTCATTTATTTACATATACTTTGATTCAGTTTGTTAACTGGAATATAAATATACAGATAATATCTTATTTAAAAATTATATATATAT